TTTAAGTATCGTACGTACTTATATTATATGCTTCATTGTACTCTTGTATATTTTTAGGATATTACTCAGTATATTGTTTCACGTCTCATCTATTGTACAATAAATATGTGTTCTTGTATTATTATCTATTTTACAGGTTATATTCATGTACTTGGTTCATTCAGGATATTTTAAGTATTGTCCAGTATATGATTATATTATTATTTATTTTACAGGATCATAAATACACTGAATTAAATCTTTATGTGGTAGTTATGTTATAAATGGAAATTTGTAATGTGTATTCTTGTTCATTTTCAGGATATTATCAGTATTCTAAAGATGAAACTACCTACAGTACATCCAAGTGTCTGTTGCATTTTATGTGGTTATTCTTATACTATTATCTTATTGTTATTTCATGACATTTGAATTTATATTTTTCAGGTTGGTGTGTATCAATGGATCAGAGGCAGTTCTCTATTGGTTAATGATATCCACACACTATCATGTACATGTACATCCTTATCTGTAACATGTATTCTATTTCCCTTTCCTTAAGATTGCTACATAGACTCAAGCCAGCATGCAGTCTTCTTTAGCATCAATTCAGTCCAAGTCTTCAGTGTATGGTAACAATGTATCTATTGCATGTTATTAATAACCTTGATTACAGTGCTAATAATAAACGGCTCATTTTATCACTATTCATCCCATTACATGTAACAAAGCACTGTCCCATTGATCTTTACTTATTCTATTGTTTAAACATTTTTCTTTTTTTTTTATTTCTGCAGGGATCAAGTTTAAAGTTGGTTGAGTGTGAGGTAGAGTGAGAGTTAATAATGTATAATTACGCAAGCTTATAATGTATTTTATGCATGTATAATATAATCCACATATTCTGCTCTCTCCCTCCACCACCCCCCTTCTAGTAGGTCTGACTGTTCTGGACTGGACCCTGGTAAGGATTGCTCCGTTATTACATGTAATGGGATGAATAGTGATAAAATGAGCCAATGGTTTTAAATTTTGAATAATAAAAAAAACAATAATGATAATTAAAAGGTAACTAATCAATTACTAAGTGGGTGGGGCTAGTGAAGGTATGACCACACCCCTAGCCAGTGGGACTATAGCCACACCCCCAATAAGAAAAAAAAGGTATTAGCCACACCTTCTGCTAATGAGAAGGCCATTACTGTGTGGCTGTATACTAGCTGTACTGTAGCATGATACTACAGAGGGACTTACAAACACCCTCTACTCTTCATCTCTCTCCCTTTCCTCCCTCCCTATCCCTCCTCTTCTCTCTCCTTCAGGTTGCTGGCCCGTCAGTTAAAGTACCTTGAGCGGTTAGACATTGGTTGCAATGAGTTTCAGAATATATTATAGTATGTCATTAGCAGCAGCAGCTCCTAGTATATATTGTATTGTTATTGTTTTCCTCCTCCTCCCTCAGTCTCCTGTGGTTGGTGGTCTCCAGTCATTACTGAGAGGAGCTGTGGATTGACATGAATAGTTTGATATCCCTCCCTGATAGTCTGGCCACCCAGACCCAACCCCTGCGGGTTGAAGAAGTGTTCCTTCATTGAAGCATCAAACAATAGTCTAATGGACCTACCACACTCCATTGGTCTCCTATCATCACTGACCGACCTCTACCTCCAGAATAACCTTCTCACCCAACTACCTGTGTCCTTTAGTTAGTCGTTGTTGCTATTATTGTTTATTTATTTGTTTATTTGTTTGTTGTTAGGTTATTTAAAGAGTTTAAAGGTGTGTAATGTCTCCAGTAACAGGTTCATGTCCA